GCTAGGGATATGAATGGTTAAATGGTTAATCGGGTGATGCTTACCGGTTATGATTTACTGGTGGGCTGGAGCAGCCTTCCACCAGCTGTGGGCTGCTCTAGCCCATCCCCATTCAATTGATTAACCAGTTAAACTTAACATTTAACAGTTAACTAATTAACCAGGATTTTACATCCCCTATCTATTACCCATATTATCTAAATTAATATGAACTTCCTAAAATCAAGCAAAAAAAACCATACACAGGAAATATGGTAGCTGTTCCAGAAAATATATATAAATCAGGAGTTCCAAGTGCTTAAAATAACTCAGTAGGGCTGTGAGATTTAATTAGGACTCTCCATTGCTAGTCTTTATAACTCATTACAAACAGAAACATGACACAGAGGAAGTCAAGTGACTTGCCCAAGGTCACACAGCAAATTAACGGTTGAACCAGGAATAGAATGCAGAACTTCTGACTCTCAGTTCCAAGATCTAGCTGGACAAAATTGCATTTTTCCTCCTCATACATACGGCAAAATTGTAATTCACTCCAAGTGTAAATTATTATGTTTTGGGAATAAGTGAGTAAACCAAACAAATGTGATTTAAAAAAAAATACTGTATTTCAAAATAGAATTTTATTGCAAGGATTGTTTAGTTGTAAAGTTTCATGGAGTGGATATATTAGTTTCATAGTCTATTAGTTATTCTATATAAATACACTTTCAAATGTTTTGAAGTCTGAGTATGAGATCTAATTGCATTACATATTACATTTTTATTGAGAAGTTGCGTGAGTCTGCTCATTTTTTTTCAGAAGAAATTATTAGGTAAGTTGATTAACAAACTGAGAATTAATGAGTTTCTATTATAATTATTGGACAGTGAAACACAGACATTAAATGCCAACATAATCTAAGTTTACACAGGGCTTAGTTTTCAGAAGTTGTGAATACCTGCAACTTCTGATGAGTTATTGATACACAGCAATTCTGAAAATCTTGGTCATAAGAAAGTGCTACTATTGTTATCTATATAAAGCACAGAAATCTGTTGCTCAACAAAATTTAATTTGTGTACTATTTATAGTTGTTATATTTCAAGTTGGAGTTTTTGAATTCTGCAAATAAATCTTTCTACACAAATTATGAAAAGCTAGTAGTAATATATTGTACACTGTTCAAAGCATATGATCACCTTGTGGAACTGGAGTTATTGGTGCTTGTTGTAGTACCTCATGCATATCTGAGTTTCCTTCATAGGAGGGAGAAGCTGTGTGTTAACTCTGCATCAAACAAACATGTTTTACTGTGTGTGTGTGTTTGTTTGTTTAGGATTTGCTTAGAGAGCTGCATGAGTTCCTGGAGTACAACAAAGAAAAAGAGGACACATTTTGTGGTGAAATAATTGACCCTCCATGTAAGAGAAGCAGACTTGAGAACATGGGAGAAGGAGCTGAAGATTTGAATCAAAATGGGGCCCTGCAGGAGACCTCTGTGGCAGATGATGTAGATGTTACTATGGGGAACCCTGCTCCCAAGGTTTGCAATGTCTGCTTGGGAATCCTTCAAAAATTCTGTGAGATGGATTTTGTTAAGAAGGTAAGTGACCTTTTCCAGCTCTGTAGCCACATTTTTCTATAAGCTATTAAGTGTGTGTTTGGTAGAAGCCTTCAGTGCAATCCCTGTGAAGATCTAGTTGTTGTTTTCTTAAATCAATAATCCGTTTCGGTCTAATATGTAGTTGAGTGGCTCCATCTAGATTTAAAATACTCCGTGTAACTTAAATCATGGGTAGATGGAGAAATGCTTCAGTTTGTTTCATCATCTCTTGCAATTACTTATTTCCCACTTAACTAACACCTATTGACTTGATGTCATAGAGGGTATGTCTACACAGTAGCGCATAGCTCAAAATAAGCTATGCAATTTGAGCTAGGCAAATTGCGTAGCGTATTTCAAGACCCTATTTTGAAATTTGGTGCAATCTAAGCAGTGCTAATTTTGAAATAGACCACTATTCCAGTGAGTCCCTTAATCCTCATGCAACAAGGTTTTGAATGTATTTCAAAATAACAGGCTTGCTGTTAAGATGTTCAGAACACAATTTTGGGATAATGGACATTATCCTAAAATAGTGCCGCTGTATAGACGTACCCACACAGTCAACATAAGTGAATTACCTGTGGGTTGCTTATGGTCCTATTTTACTTTGACCTTGCTATAATGCAGCTAAAAAGCTTGAGAAACAGGTGAACCTTCAACTGTCTACTGAAGGTAATCTAATTAGACCTCAGATAGACCCCATGATCCTGTTTCAGAAGCAAAGGGCTGACAGCATTTCCATAGGCTGTGTCTACACTGGGCCACTTATTCCAGAAAAGCAGCTGCTTTTCCGGAATAACTTGCCAGCTGTCTGCACTGGCCCCTTGAATTTCCGGAAAAGCACTGACGATCTACTGTAAAATTGTCAGGTGTTTTTCTGGAAAAACTATGCTGCTCCCGTTCGGGCAAAAGTCCTTTTCTGGAAAAACTGTTCCGGAAAAGGGCCAGTGTAGACAGCACAGTAGTCTTTCCTGCAAAAAAGCCCTGATCGCGAAAATGACGATCGGGGCTTTTTTGCGGAAAAGCGCGTCTACATTGGCCACGGATGCTTTTCCAGAAAAAGTGCTTTTCCGGAAAAGCATCCTGCCAATGTAGACGCGCTTTTTCCGGAAATACTTATAACGGAAAACTGTTCCATTTTAAGCATTTCCGGAAAAGGGTGCCAGTGTAGACGTAGCCATAGTGTTTACATACAGTACAATGTTATTATAAATGATGATCCCATCTTTACCCATGGAGCATTTTTCTCATGTGACTCAGATGGCATGAAATGCAGTTGATGGTGTTGGGCTGCTCAGCATTTCTCTTAGGTGCATATTTCTAAAGAATAAAGGAGTTGTAAAGCAGTATGAATCGCCCTTACAATGTAGTCTTATATTTGGTAAGCCACAGGCTAAGGAAAAATGTTGTGTCATTTGTTAGTACAAAAGACTATAAGCATACAAGTTATCAGAGGAAAATATTATTGAGAGTTAGGGGAAAAGATAGTCTCAAGATCATTATAAACACCACATATGAAGTATAAGATTGCCAAAGGAAACAATTTTGAAAGTCCCACTTCCATATTTCACTCTGAGTAAAAGGTTTGACATGAGTGTTGATAAATGTGATTTGTTGTTATAGTAGAAAGAACATTGGATTAGCATTGTCAATAAATTGTGACCAAATAGAATTGCAGTTTCTATTGCTGCAGAGCACAAGTTATGTCCTTTTTTTGCAGACAAAAATCTTGTTTATGGAACCACATTTTTACTGTTGGCTTTTTAAAGTTATGCCATTGAGTGACAATCGAAAACTTGAGAGCGATTTGTTTTTAAAAAGCAGCCAAGACTAATTCTTTTCCTAACAGCAATTAACATGTTGATTTAAATTGGAATGATCAGAATTATACCACTTGTTTTTAGAGAGAGATAATGGAGGAGACAAGCTTTTGATCAACACAGGAAAGCCTTTCAGAGCTCTTTAGCAGAAGATACTCCAGTACTTCATTGCCAAACCTAAGTATTAGAAAATTATTGGAGGGGAGAGAGAAAAGATGGTAGGGGCTGCGACAGTAATGTGTGTGGGGATTAGGGTTGTTAATTAGTGTATAATTGTTTACATGATTAACCAATAAGATTGGGTTTATTGGTTAATCCTAACGACTATATGCATTCCCTCCACCCCCTCAGAGGCAGGAAGGGGAAGGGGGAGGTGGGAGCTGGTGCCTGTGGGGAGCTGGCTCCTGCTGAGCTGCCTGCCTGCCGCCTCCCACAGAGGTAGCAGTGTGGAGGGTGGGGGCAGGAGGAAGCTGTTATGCACAGGGAATTAGCTTTTAAGATGGCTCTCCCTAGAGCCACCAGTTCCCACCCCTGCTGCCTCCTAAGAGGGAGAAGCGCAGGCACAGAAGGGAAGCAGTGCTTGGGAGGGGCCCCTTAAAAGCTGGTTCTCCATGAGCACTGGCTCCCACACAGCCATCTGCTCCCCCATCCCCGCCCCTGTATTCCCGGGGGGGGGCGGGCGGGAGCCAGTACACACACACACTGGCTCCTGCTCAGCTGCCTGGCCCCCACCTCTAACAGACAGGGGGCAAGGGGAGATGGGAGCCAGTGCTTGCAGGAAGCCAGCTTTAAAGCTGGCTCCATGTAACCACTGGCTCCTGCCTCCTCCCCTCCCACCCCCCAGAATGCAAATTTTCAGTGGATACACATTTTAGTGGATACGTGTTGAAACAAACACATTTTAACATCCATAGTAGGGATGGGTGGGAAGTGTGCAGGGGGAAGAGAGGAGGAGCAATGGCAGCATTTGCTGTTTTTGAGTTTTCATTCC